GCTCTTCCCTATCTTACAGAAACTCCAAAACCACCTCAAATATAATGCTTCTTGGAAGGCAGGGCTACAACACAACCCTCTCCCTGCTCCCATTTCATTCCTACCTCACCTAAAGCAGATTCATTTTTATCTGTTTTATATATTTGAGTTCTCATAAGATTTCTTAAGGGTTCCATTACTAAAATAGTTTGGAAATCACTGTATTGTATGACATGTCACTATATTTTTGTCTAACCTTTTATGATTTTATGGTTTATATTTAACTGTGAAACCCACCCAGAATTCATTTTGGTTTGTGGTATTATGCTGGATATGGTCACCACTACTCAAGATCTCTTCCCACCTCCCTCTAATGCCTTCTATACATAAAAACCGAAAAGCTGAACACTATACTTCCCAGACTCTCTTGCAGTTAGGCTCTAGATATGAATTAAATTCTACCAATGGGATGTGTTTGAGTGATTTCTGAAAGGCAGTAATGAAGCAAAGAGCATCTTCTTCTTTTCTAATGAAAAGTTACGAAAACACCAGTGTCTACTCTCCACTCTCCATGGCTATCCAGAAGCAGTTGTGACGATGGCCGAATTCAGCATTTCAGCACGAGCTACAGAACTCAACGGTCCTGCAGTACTTCCCACTTCCACCTCTTCCAGATGGAGGCAGATGCAGTGGCTCCCTGGTGGGCCAGTTCTGCAACGTCCCAGGAATCAGTCCTTGAGGCCCAGTCCAGAGCTTGCCTCTTCAGCCCTTCCAACGATCTCACAAAAGCCTGATTCTCGTATTAAATTCCTCTCCCCCTGAAGTATGTAGTGTGTTTTCTGCTTTCTGGACTAAATCCTATTTGTCACTGGTATAAAACACTGACTATTAAGCCAATGGTTAAAGATACTGCAAAGCCTCTTAAGTTCTTAAAATGCAGACCAAGACTATCTCCGGAATTGACAAATTAGGAGACTCTTTGCAAAACCTTTTTTAGAGCCTAGAGTTTCACACAGCTCACTAAATTGCAGTGTCAATGCTCTATTTCCCAATGTGACATATGTAAGTTTCTATCAAGAAAAACAAATCTGTTATCATCCTGGTTCTATTCATGAAGCCTGAGGCATAAATCAAGAAAGATAAGTAGTGATTATTAAAGAAACCAGCAATAACTTTAACTGATTGCTGTGATTTGAACAGATGTTTGATAGTGAAATATAAAGACCAACAGAAAAAAATAAGTCTATGGAAAGCTTTTTATAAAAACAACAATAACAGCTGAGGCCTGATTTAACTTAACTGAATAAAACATTTCAACTATACATTTAAATCCCTCCCTCATCTAGAAGCTCATCTCAGGTACCTAAAACCAAAATCAAACTAAAATGTTCCTTTCTTAAGGACCAAGGGTACCAACTCCAGTCAAACATCCTCTCGCCTGAGGGCACCTGTCACAAGGACACAAGGGCTACATACCACTGTTGCCGCAGTCTGCACATGAGATTAGTTCCTCTGGCTTCTTTTCTCGGTTTTGGTCTTTTGTACCAAGACAGAAACTACAGATGGGGATTGGTTCAGCAACTGGCTGTAAAGAAAAACACAATTCACTCAGGTACTGGGGCTTTTTTTTAGTATAAATATAAAGACATTGCAATTACAGATGTAAATTCCTTCGAGAGTTACATATAACTTTAGGACAAATGTATCCCCCTCCTAAATTTCCAACAAAGTAGGTGAGTTTTTACCAAGCTGCTTTGGCTGGGCCTTTACAAACAGTCCCCATAGTGACAAGTTTGGTCCAAAAAATCATATCCCAATCATGTTGGTCACTTAGAAACTAAATGATACAGTGTGGATTAGGCAAAGCAAATCCATTACCTAAGATTGAAAACTTCAACTGAATTAAGCACAAGAAATCATAGTATCAGCCCTTAAAAGGCATGTGACGTAGGAGAAAAATAAGATGTTTAATAAGCATAATGAAAGGTAACAGTAAGAGCTCTGTACAAATGGGAAAGATAAATTGTGACTGTGGTTTGGAGGAGAAGGGTTGAACGAGGAACATAACACATATTAAGTGCCAGTACTTAATACATGTGTGCTATGGTATCTCAAGAAGCTTGTCCAAGGACAACAGATAGTAATTGTTAAAAGCAGGTTTAAACCTAGGTCTCTAGGTTCCTCCACAGCACTGGATGGAGAGAAAGGCAATACAGGTAGTGTAAACAAGGTGAACTTCGGTTTGCAGTCTGCCAAGGCTAGTGCTTAAAGGATATGGCTTCCGTGATGAGTGGAGGGAGGAAGACTAGACCAGTTCTTTAAGACTGCCACTGAATGTCTTATAAAGAAGTTGGACTTTATCCTGAAGAAAAGACAAACAGGTTACTGAACCAAAAGACGATCAACTGTATTTGACAAAAATAATTCCAGTAGCAATAACAAAGACAAACTGGGGAAAACCTAAAGATAGGTAGAACATTTAAAAAGTGATTGCAATAGTCTGGTGAAGACAAGATAAGAACCTGAACCAAAGCTAAGGGAAAGGAATAGGAAAACAAAGCTATGGACTCAGAAACCAGCTAGCTGTGGAAGTGATAGAATAGGACTTAAACATGACTAACTTAACTGAAAAGATGGGGATGTCATCAACTGTGAAAGGTGAGTCATTTTAAAGAAGAAAACCAGGAGGAAAGCAAAGGGATGATGAATCTGATTTCAGGTGTGTTTAGTTGGAGGTACTCTCATTCACCTCTCAACTACATATGCTAAGCACTGTGCAGGACAGTGATACAAACCCCTCAAGATGCTTTTAGTCTACAGGGGAGAACAGATGTTTGCAGGTACTGTGATAGGGAAACAAAGGAAGAAGTGACCAAGTAGGGAAAAGTGGTATCAGGGAAAGGCTTCACAGAGGTATTTGACAGGCAGGCATACCTGAAGGGGATGTTCAAAGAAAATAAAGAATCATACAGAACTGGATTTGGGAGATGGGAGGTATGAGCTTAGTTTGGGACTTAACGAGGTTAAAATGCCTAAGAAACATCAAAGGGGCAATGCCCATGGATCTGGAGTTCAAGACAAAAGGTGGTCTGGAAATAAAAATCTGGAAGTCACAGACAGTCAGCCCCCCATATCCACAGGTTCCACATCCTTGAATTCAACCAACCGTGGATCCTAATCAGTTGAATATGGAACCCGGACCCTGCAGATACCTTGAGGGCTGACTGCATGTACAAAATGGCAGTAAGGCCATCAGAGTTGATGAGTTCTCCCATGGAGAACAGGTGGAAAGAAGAAAGCCAAGGTCAAAACATCAAAATTTAAGGGACTGGCAGAGGAAAAAGCCTGAAAAGGAAACAGACTAGTCAGAGAGTTGGATGGTACATCAACGTAAAAATGTCCAACACAAGCAAACTAACAGTACTGCTCAGCCAAGAGATGAAATGAGAGATGAACAGCAGGAAGCTGTCTTAACAACTGTGCCTGTGGTAAAGACAACCACATCCTTTCTTTAAAAAGAAATATGAAAAGGAACCAGGGACTAAAGTCGGGAAAGACTTCATCCAGGAGTAGAAACTTGAAGTAACCTCTAAAGAAGGTAGAAGCAAGGTCATGAGGCTTAAGCTTTATGCTGTAGCCTCTAAGTACCACAAGAGGATTTTAACAGAGGAATGATGTGAGTAAGATTTGAAGTTTAGAAAAGTCACTCTGTATGTGGTTGGAAATGGATGGGAAGGGATACGATCTATGATCCAGGCCCTGAGTAACAAGGGCCTGCATTAAGGCACTGATGAAAGGACTGGAGAAGAGACAAAAGAGGTATTTAAAGGTATAACTGGCAGGAACTGCTGGCTAACTGATTTGGGGTAGGGAACACAGTAAGAAGGACGCAAGACTAGAAAGACACCATTAAAGAAGTGAAGAGGCAAAGCCACAGAATGGAAGATATTAACTCACATTTAACCAACAAATGTTCATATCCAGTACTGTATATACGAAGAACTCTTACATGTCAATAAGGAAAAGACAGAAGACTTCAACAGGTACTTTACAACAGAAAATACATATGTAATATACAAGTGGCCAATAAACATAAGAAAAGATGCTCAACCTCACTAGTCATCAAGGAAGCAGATCTTCAAGGATGGCTAAAATTATGAAGACTGGCAATAGTAAGTATTGGTAAGAAAATGGAACAAAAGAAACTCTCTTACACTGCTGATAGGAATATAAATTGACAAAACCACTCTGAAAACTACTAAAAATAAACACAGCATACCATATGATCCTGCACTTCCACTCCTGGCTGTATACCCAAACGAAGTACACACACACGATATATAATAAAGCATACACACCAAAATGAGCAGGGCAGCATTACTCATAACACCAAAATCTACTCAAATAAAAACTACCCAAATAACTATCAATGAATGGTCACACAAATAAATTATGCTATATCCATAGAGTAGAACATTAAACAGTGATGAAAATAAATTACAGTCAACAACGTATCACAAACAACAGCAAATGAAAGAATAGACCCAGAAGAACACATAATATATCATTTTATTTATATAAAGTTCAAAAATCGTTCTATATTATTGTAGTCAGGATAGTGATTATACCTTTAGGGAGAAAGAAAGAGGTAATGAATTGGAGAGGGACTTCTGAGGTATAAATAATGTTACTTTTCTTGACCTGGATGATGGTTTCATGGATCTTAATTAGGAATTAAGGCATACACTTACAATCTGTGTACTTTTCTGAATATATATTTTAATTAGAAAGTCAAATTTAATTATGAACATCTATTGAGGAGGGCTGTGGTACCTCTGGAATATTCTGAAAGAAATACCGATGGTGATTTAGACAGTGAAGTTTGGAACTTAGGAAAGAGGCTAGAGATAGATTCAAAAGACATGAGTGTGCAGGTGATAACTGACAATGCCCAGTGAGAGGGTGGAGGTAAGTGGAGTATGTGGAAGGGGCAGACAGTAAAGGGAGGGGAGTGGAGGAGTGAGACAAAGTCGGGATAGAAGAGCAGCAACATTTAGAAGCATCAGAGGAAAAGCAGGCCAGAAAGGACCAAGACAAAACAGAACCAAGAGAAGTGATGACACAAGAATTTCAAGAAGCAGAGAGCAAGCAAATATCAATGTTGGGAAGATAAAGTAACTACTGGATTCTACAACTGAGAAATAGCTGGAGACCTCACTAAGCCAGAGAGCCCTTCTCAGTGACAGGATAAGAACTGAAGTCATAGGAACCAACAAGCTGCCATGCAGGGACGGAGAGTAGACAGGAGACAGCTAAAAGGAAATGACAAAGGGTTTTGATGTGTTCTAGTTATTTCAAATGAGAAAGACTAAACCTATTTAAATGTGGAAGAGAAGACACACATGGTCCAAGAGATTCAAGAAACAAGAAATAACAGGAACATATTATGTAGTAAGGATTAGGCTACACTGTTCAATATGGCAGGCACTACAACAATGTGGCTATTTAAATTTAAAATAAAACTAATTTAATCCCTCAGTCATACCAGCTACATTTAAATTGCCCAAGAGTCACATGTGGCTACTGACTACAGTTTTGGACAGCAAAAATATAGAACTATTTCATCATTACACAAAGTTCTATTGGAAAACACTGGCTTAGAAAAGAGGATGGATTTGTAAGCACAGGTAAAGGGACTGGCCTTTGCAGACAGAATGGTGTAGATGCATACTGCTTGTAGGTGGGATGGTAGGAACAGGGAAAAATCGAGGATGTTCACTTTCAATAGCCTCATTATTTCTGGAAAATAGGAAATAAAATCACCTGCTACAAGTGGGACAGGGATTGGCTAAACAGACCACGAGAAAGTGACAACTGACAGAGAAAACTGAGAGGTGAGACTGGCTGGGTTTAAGAACAGAGATAACAGCAACAACAGAAAAACCTCCTATCAAAATGGAAATGGACACACATTCCTCAGGCAAGACAAAATCAGCAAAGTATGTATTAACATAGAATAAATTTGAAATACAGAAGAGAAAAGCTGATGGAATCCCTGCAAAGTGGCCTCTATATTTTCACTAAAATAGAAGGCTATGTTTTTGCTTAGAGAAGTAGATAGGTATGGGTTTGGGCATTTACAGAGAGCAGAAAAGTCTGAAAATCTGTGTGGAAAGTGAAAGGGAATCACTTCGTGATGGAAAATAAAACTGTCAATCAGCCCTAACCACAAAGCTAAGATAGGAGAGAATCAATGTGTAGTATTTCCAATCAAGAAGGTTGTACAATTTTCCTTAACACCTCTGAAGCCTTGGACTCACAAAATCAGAGAACTGTAGCTTGACAAGATAAGCTAAAGGGTGGGAATTCCCCAGAATGCAAATGCAAATATTTCTACAATAGTGGGCCACAAAGTTAAGGTTGGACATCATAAGCAGAACAGGGCCTGACAAACTGAAAGTCTGAGTTAAGGACCCATAGGAATCCTGATCAAATGGAAATAAAGGTCCAGTAGAAAGTAAAAGAAACAGAAAAGTAGAAAGACTAAAGATTGTGGTTAGCAGAGGAGTGTTAGAGTTTCTGATT